ACATTGCGTTACATTTTTTACATTTTTAGTGTGTGTTTAATGTGTGTTTTCTTAAGGCGTGTTTTTGCACTGGAAAAAGGAGTGGCTCTTAATTTCATTGTACTGCGTATAATGACAATAAAGGCATTCTGATTCTGATTCTCTTCTGGTCCATCCTTTTGGCCAGTGGCTATTTAGTTTCCCTGATGTAAGACTGATCACAGCCCTCCTGACACTGAACAGCATACACAACATTACTCTGTTTGTGCCGGTGGACTGGATCTTTGGGATGAACCAGTCTTTGCTGTGATGTATTTTGGGGTTTAAAAGCCACTGGGACGTTGTGTTTGGAAAATAAACGTCTCAGTTTCTCTGATACTCCCTCAACATACGGACCTAACAAAACCCCATTCCATTCTCCACATTTTCAAACATATCATCAATCATAATTGAAAAAAACAATGGGCTCACTATACTTCCTTGGGGAGTTCCATTTTTAACCAAAAATTTTTCTAAAAATGTTTTTCCTATTCTCACTTGTATTGATCAATCTTGTAAAAAATATTTTATCCAATAAAACATTGAACCATTTATTCCCATCTTTGTTAGTTTTATTAATAAACCTTCCTTCCACATCATATCGTAAGTTTTCTCTATATCAAAAAAGACAGCCACCACACTCTCCTTATTAACTTGTCCTTTCCTGATTTCATGTTCTAAACATAAAACAGGATCCATAGTGTTTCTACCTTTTCTAAATCCACTTTGGAATCTTGATAAATATCCCCTCTTCTCAACAAAGTAAGTCAGTCGTTCATTTATCATTCTCTCCATAATTTTACATAAATGTGAAGTTAAAGCTATGGGTCTATAACTGGCTGGGTTTGATCGTTCTTTACCTGGTTTGAGGATTGGAACTATGATTGCTTCTTTCCATGCTTTAGGTAAAAAGCCTAATTCCCAGATCTTATTATATAATTCCAGTAAAACCTTTTTAGATGAATTACTAAGCTGATTAATCATAATGTAAGAGATACTGTCATTTCCTGGAGATAAGTTTTTTGATTTCCTAAGGGCATTATTCAGTTCAGAAAAAGAAAAGGGAGCATTTAATAAGTCAGTGGATCTTATATTTTCTTTTAATAAATGAATATTTTCATTGATTGTACAATTTCTCCTGTTTCTCATCTGTACTTAGATTACTACTACTGTGGATTTGAACAAAATGTTTGACCAACATGTTTGCCTTCTCTTCCTCTGTTACAGCAGTAACATCTCCATCCTTCACAACTGGATATCCATATTCTCTTCTAATCCCATTCATTCGTTTTATCATCCCCAAACTTTTGAAATGTTTGTTTCCTACCTACCCAATCACAAAAGTTTCCCCAATAAACCTTTTTAGCATTTTTTACAGTCCTTTTAACAAGAGCTTGCAACCATTTATATTCAATAATATCCTGAAAGTTCAGGTTTCTTTTTAACAATCTAAAAGCTTTATTTTGAGATTTTATTGCTACATCACATTCCTTTGTCCACCACGGTACGACTCTCTTCTTATATTTTCCTCTTTCTTTGGATTGCTTCACGTGCAGCACCTAAAATGGCTTCACATATAGAAAGATTTAAATTGTCAATATCTAATTCAATATTAACTATTTGCATTTCTTCATCACTTATTTTATATTTTTCCAAAGATCCATCTTTCTACACCTTCATTATCAAATGTTTCCATTTCCAAACCATTTTCAATGAATATAGGATAATGATCACTTCCTGTAGTTGACTCTTTTAATACTTGCCAATTACTGATCCCAGCTAGACTCTCTGAGATTAAAGTTAAATCTAATGATGATTCAGATCATTTCTAATATTGATTCTTGTCCCCTCCCCATCATTAAGGCAAACTAAATTCTTTAGATCCATTATTTCTTCCACCACCTCTCCATTAGCATCATTACTACCCCACAAAGTACTGTAAGCATTAAAGTGTCCACAACAAATTACTTTTCCTTCAATACTTTTAAACATTTCCTCCATTTTATATAAATAAAGTTTTTTACAGGGATTATCAAAATTCAATATTTTAATACTTTCTTTATTAATCTAAATTTCTACAGATATCCATTCTAATGTTATTCCTTTTTCTAAATATCTATACTGTATTCCTTGTTTTATAAATATTATACATCCTCCTCCGTCTCTTCTAACACTGTCGTACACTTTTATCACAAAATCTAACTCTGGTTTGAGCCACGCCTCCTGAACACAAATTATGTCTGGTTTTCTTTTCAAATTATTTAAATATCCTTTAAATTCCTGACCATTAGCTAATAAACTCCTTGCGTTCCATTGAAGAATAATCATGATATTCTTCCTTCACCCAGTTTTCCATCTGTTTCCAGCTTTTTATTGATCGATTCCCGAGATAAATCCTTCTCACACAGACATTTCTCTGCACCTTTCACTGTGATTTTGATGTTTTCAGTTTTTGCTTCACTTGATCAGTGCAGTTAATAACATCAGCCATGAACAGAATTAATCGATCCATTATGATTTCCATTCCTGACATTGCTCTTTGACTGAATTCAGGTTTTGGACTAGGAGGGACTTGAGGATTTCCCTGTAGGCCTACTGCTCTTTTTTCTTGCTTCTGCATAAGTAATATGTTGTATTTCTGCTGCCTTCTTCCTTACTTCACATCCCCCGTACGCTGCACTATGCTGACCTCCACAGTTGCAACATTTCAACTGTACATCTTTCCCACATTCATCATACCTATGATCTCCACCACACTTTGCACATGTTTGCTTCCCTTTGCACACTGCTGCAATGTGACCGTATCTTTGCATTTGTAACAGCGCAGAGGAGCAGGGATATAAGGCCTGACAGGAAAACACATGAAACCAATTTTTATTTTATCAGGAAGAACTTCGCCTTTAAACTCTAAAAGTACAGAGAGACTCTCAATCCTTTTCCCAGCTACTGTTTTTAACAACCTTTTCAAATTGCATATTTCTACATCATGAATATTTCTTTTAAGTTTTTCCAGATCTTCTTCAAGTGGAATACCAGTGATAACACCACGTGACACCTTGTTTTCTCCAATCATTTTCCTTTTACTAACAACCTTTTTGCAAATGTTACCAATCTGCATAGCTTTATTTTGTTGTTCTTCAGATTTACATTTGATCAACAGGTTCCCATCACGCAGCATTTTTGCAAACTCCACCTCACCTACTTTCATTTTTATATCTTTAGATATTGCTACAGGACTTAGATTCATGTTCTCATCTTCTTTCTTGAATTCAAGTACGACCTTAAATTCCTCATTTATCACTTTCCTTCTAACCAGTCTGTTTCATCCTCTGAACTACTCTTCAAGGCTTCTCTTATTACTATGGCTGCCAAGCTCTGTCATCTCTCAAAGCTTTGCCCTTACCTTTTCCTCCTCCTCTACCTACCGGAGTCCACTCATCAAAATCCATATCCTCATTGTAATCTACCTGAGTAGTCATCCCGATCCAGTCACATTCCAGTTTATGCCAACCACCAAATTCAAAAAGAAAAACAGTATATATGGAAAAAAAAAATTCAAACTTGCAAAAATTTCCCGCATCGCCGTCAACCACCCAGCCGCACCTTCTGTGAGGAAGCTTAGGTTTTAATAGGGAGGCTTCTTCAGGGATTGGTGAAGCCATCAAGTGATGATCCAATCAGGTCTGCTGTAGGCCTCAGACAGGAAGTGACACAGGAGGAGGGCTGCATCCAGTTCCCACAGTGCAGCCAGCAGGCAGGAAGCTGCAACTATACAGAAGTGTTTGTTTTTTTCTCGTTTTTTGTTTTTAAAAGAAAAAACAAAAGAACATACAAGGCCACTGGCTGTAACACCAAGTCAAAGTCCAGACCTGAATCCAATTGAGAATCTGTGGAAAGAGCTGAAGACTGCTGTTCACAAACGCTCTCCATCCAACCTCACTGAGCTCGAGCTGTTTTGCAGGAAGAATGGGCAGAACTTCAGTCTCTTGATTTGCAAAACTGACAGAGACATACCCCAAGAGACTTGCAGCTTTAATTGCAGCAAAAGGCGGCGCTACAAAGTATTAACGCAAGGGGGCCCAATAATATTGCACGCCCCACTTTTCAGTTTTTTATTTGTTAAAAAAGTTTGACACATCCAATAAATTTCATTCCACTTCACGATTGTGTCCCACTTGTTGTTGATTCTTCACAAAAAAAAAAAAAAAAAAAAAAAATATATATATATATATATCTTTATGTTTGAAGCCTGAAATGTGCCAAAAGTTTGAAAAGTTCAAGGGGGACGAATACTTTCGCAAGGCACTGTATAACACACAAAAAGTTTGGGACATTTACTTGATGGAATAAATTCCATATTCTCTAAGGCTTCAAAAGCCCATTTTTAATGTATAGTGAAATCCGTTAATGCGATTATTAATACAGTGTTGTACTTAGAATTTTGTCTTTTTGCAATCACTGTGCACTTTTATGCCAGTAAAAATACCACTGTAAACACGAATGTGTAGACTATCTTATCTCAGATGGGATTTTATTGATTTATGTTGTTTTATCCTTTCTTTCTTTTCCGCTCTTTTTACATTATTTCATTTGTATTATTGTATTCATTGTTCTATTATTATAACTGTTGGTAGTAAAATCCTTTCTGCTCATTTTCTTTTGTCAACTTATAACGTGGACTGTATATAACTTTAAGAGATAGAAAGAATGTAATTATGGAAAAGTGCCACCATTTGTTGTTAACAAAATAAATAAAAATTAAGTTAAAAAAATAGAAATCGTAGTCACACAAGAACAAAGAAAGGAGAAAACATTTGTAGATATAAAGTGAATTATGTAAGAGTATCATAGATGATAAATGTGTCAGACCTATTTATTTGCTATTTTATCCCACAAACACTCTCAAAACAAAGACCCCAACTGTATTTACTAGAATTTAAGAATTTTAAAATTCATTTTGTTTCATCATCTGTCAGTTTCAGGAATAACTTCAGTGCTGTCAACCTTCTCCGAGGAAAAACAAATTCAGCCAATCTTTCAGAGAGGTCACCTCTGCTGAGGTTCTCGCAGGATGACAGGTGAGCACTGCCTTAGCATTCTGGTTAGCTATAGATACTTTGCAAATATCAGAACAGCTCATAATTGATTACAAAAACAAATAACTAAATATATTAAAGATGAATTGCTATGTAATGAAAATAAAGGATTTCCATTCTATGGTTGGTTTTGTGTTTTTGAAAATAAAGAAGAAAAGTTTTGTCACTGTTCAACCACGGCGTTCAAAGCTGGAAAATTTACTTCCCAGGTGGAGAGAAGACTCGGGCTGACACAAATAACTGCTGAAAATAATAAAGTTTTACCATTTGATTTCTATTAAGGCAGGTAAAAGGTACTGGTTTACAGCGCGGTGACTTCGTTCGACCCGCCGCAACCAGAAACCGGAAGCCAAGCTCCCAAAGAAACTCGGCTTTCTCCGACTCTAGACTCCACCCTTAGCCTGGGGTGTAGTACAACCTCATTGGATCAGTAATGAACTATGTGTGGACAAGTACAGGTCATAACTGGTTTAAACTGATGATACAGTAGTGTCTAAAATATGTAAGGAAGTGGTAAACAATTCCATATAAACCAACAAACTCCATGCTCAATAATCCAGGAATACAATCCAACAAATTAAAGTCAGGACATCTGGACAATTTCTTTTTTTGTGATGAAAAGTTTCACTTTCCATCCAGAAGGCTTCATCAGTCAAGGAAACACACAACACAAAACTGATTCTTCCCCCAACAGTTTACTCCAAAGTGGAACAAACCAGTTATGTTGGTGCTAAGATGGTCTCTTTACCATACCATACCATACCACTTTATTTATAGAGCACTTAAAACAGCTACAAGGCCAACCAAAGTGCTGTACAGACAGAACAACAGGTAACACACAAAGCAAAATACAAAATGAAGTAAATCAGAATATAGACATAAAAACGATGCAGATAATGACGACAAACCAGTGTGGAGCATACAGGATCAAAACACAGATCATCTGGTGTTGAAAGCTACTGAATAGTAGTGAGTTTTTAAACGGGACTTGAAAACCGAGAGGGAGGGGGCCTGTCTGACAAGCAGAGGTAACTCGTTCCAGAGTCTTGGTCCTGCTACAGAGAAGGCCCTGTCACCTCTGCACTTAAGACGAGTTCCTGGAACTGTGAGGAGCAACTGGTCCGCTGACCTCAGGGAGCGTGGTGGGACATACGGCTATAGCAGATCACAGGGATGGGGGGGGGGAGGGACTGTTCAGTGATTTGTAGACATACATCAGTATTTTGAACTGGATTCGAAAGTGAACCGGTAACCAGTGTAGGGAGGCCAAAACTGGTGTAATGTGCTCTCTTTTGCCTGTACTGGTTAAAAATCGGGCTGCTGCATTCTGGACCAGTTGTAGCCGTGCAATGGAGGTCTGACTGATAACAAACAGGAGTGAATTGCAATAATCAAGCCTAGATGTATTGAATGCATGTATTACTGTCTCCAGGTTATTTTTGGACAATATGGGCTTCAGTTTAGACAGTCGCCTCAGTTGGAAGAAACATGATTTAACAATCATGTTTACATGATTGTTAAGTTTCAGGGAAGGGTCCATTATCACGCCCAGATTAGTGACTCTTTGTATTTCTGACAGGGTTAGAGCGGAGAGGTCGATGCAGTGGTTTGTGACCGTGTCATTGGGAGGGAACAACATGACTTCAGACTTCTTTTCATTGAAACTTAAGAAGTTTAAAGCCATCCAGTCCCTGATGTCAGCCAGGCAGTCGAGCAGCGGTTGAATCGAGCATGTACCATTGTGTCTTAGGGGGAAGTAAATTTGACAGTCATCGGCATAGAAGTGGAAGGGCATGTTGTGTTTCTGGAAAATAGCACCAAGCGGCAGCAGGTATAAAGAGAATAGGAGGGGACCCAGGATGGACCGCTGCAGAACCCCCCATTTAAGCTCTGCCTCTGCAGAACTAAAATCCTTGATGGAGATACTAAAGGATCTGTTAGTGAAGTAGGACCTGAACCAATTGAGGGCTGACCCTGTGACGCCCACCCACTGCTCTAACCTAGCAATGAGGATCTCATGGTCGATGGTGTTGAAGGCGGCCGTGAGGTCCAACAGGACAAGCAGTACAGAATCACCAGTATCTGTGGATCTGAAGATGTCGTTAAAGACCTTCAGCAGGGCAGTTTCAGTGCTGTGGAGAGGTTTAAAGCCAGATTGGAAAAGCTCTAAGATGTTGTGACCCTCCAGGAAGCACTTCAACTGGGACTCGAATATTTTCTCCAGTACTTTAGAAACAAATGGGAGTTTGGAGACAGGCCGGAAGTTGGACACGACTGAGGGGTTAAGGTTTGTTGTTTTTCAGGAGAGGCTGGACAGCAGCATGTTTAAAGGATTTTGGCACCACGCCAGTGGATAAACTACTGTTTACTATGGCAAGAATGGACTGACCTAGAGTGGGACAAACTTCCTTTAGTAGTCAAGGGGGGACCACATCAAAGGGGGAACCAGAAGGTTTCAAGCTGCACATGACCTGCTCTAGAGAAGATAGAGTGATGGGTTCAAAATGGTCAAATGGAGCTACAGACTGAGAAGGGATGGATGGGTCATGAGTTGGAGGGGAAATGAGAGCCCTGGTGGTCGCAGATTTTTCCAAAAAGAAATGTAAGAAGTTGTTGCACAGCTCAGTCGAGGCTTCCAGACGTGATGGTTCAGTGAGGTGGAGAACAGAGTTTAGGGTGGAGAAGAGGACACGTGGGTTGCGAGAGTTTGAGGTAATTATATCAGAGAAGTTTTTGGATTTTTCAGCTTTCACTGCTTTTTGATAACAGCGCCAACTCTCTTTAAGTATTTGAAAAGAGACCTGCAGCCTGTCTTTCCTCCACTTTCGTTCCACCCTCCTACATTGATGCCTAACGGCCTTGGTGACGTCACTCAGCCAAGGTTCTGCTCTGAGTTTTGATTTTTTGGTTTTAACAGGTGCAAAATGATCCAGAGTCTTTAAGCAGACAGAGTTGAACTGGGATGTCAGTTCCTCAGTGGTGGTGAGAAACACCGGGGGCTGAATTATCATTTCAGAGTTATAAACATCTGTGAAACGTGCGGCAGTGAAATGGTTAATGGTCCGGGTCCTACGTGCAGGAGCGCACGGCTTAGGATTTAGATGGGGGAGGGTGAACTCAAACCGGACTGGCATGTGGTCTGAAAAAACATTATCACCAATAACAAGATTATTAACAGTCACATCATGAGCTAAAACAAGGTCCAGTGTATGTCCGCACTCTTGGGTGGGACCGTTTACATGCTGCGTTAGATTAAATGAGTCCAATAAATCTAAAAAGTCCTTAACCAAGGGCTTCTCAGGACAGCACACATGCAAATTAAAGTCCCCAATAATGAAAACATGCTCATATTTTGGTGTGATTTCAACTAAGAAGTTAGAAAACTCATTTATGAAGTCCTTAGATCGAGGTGGGCGGTAGACGAGTGCACACAACGTTGGAGGTGAATGTCTGAGTTCAATGATGCTCAGCTCAAAGCTGGCGCGGGAAACTGGGATGGGCAGTTGTTTACAGACAAAAGTTGATTTGAATATTGTTAATAATCCACCACTGCGCCGGCCTGATGGCCACGGTGCATTGAAATACAGACAGTTCGGTGACAGTAATTCCGTCAAGGCGTTGGACTCACCCGGAGACATCCAAGTCTCTGTGATGCACAGAAAGTCTAACCCGTGCTCTTGAAAGTAGTCCCTGAGGATAAAATTTTGTTGGTAACAGATCTTGCATTGACCAAACACATCCGGATACTGTCCAAAGTGGACCCAGCAGCGGTGGACCCAGCAGCGGTGGACCCAGCAGCGGTGGAGTTAGCGCACGCTAATGGCCACAGATTTTCAATAACAGCCCCTCCAGATCAGTCCGAGCGATGCACCGGCCGACAACTCCCGTTGGTTACCTGATCCGGGCACACAGGAAGCTGGCGATGGAAACCATGACCGCCAGCTGAAGAGAAAGATGCAGTGCGCTGGGCTTTAATCTTCACCAGCTGACCAGCACATTTTCCCCGGCATCTGAAGCGATGTCTCCGGGCATGGAGGTGAGGAGCCCAGCGGAGGTAAGCTGGTATGTCTGCCAGCAGGGGTGAAGGGGGGGGGGGGGGTCCCAGAGGTACACTCATATTGTTCCAAATAAACGCCATCAGAGACAGAAAAACGAAGATCCAGAAGCTGTTGTCGGTCATACATGAGGAGTGAATTCATGCCACAGATAAAAAACGAGCAAAACAGAAATAATCCGAACACCATCAGCAGAGGTGGAATGCAAGCCATGCACACGGGTGCCATCTTACCGGAAGTAAGATCTTTGGCATGGCCCCTCATCCGGTGCCGGCCCTCTCCCTCATCGACAGTCAAGTAAAACTGATTCAAAACCAACAAAGTCCATGCTCAATAATCCAAGTATACAATCCAACAATTTTCAGTCAGGTAATCTGGACATCTAAAAAAGTTAAATCTGGTCCTCTGGACATTCAAAAAAAAAAAAAAACTCAAAACAAAGCAAAACAACAAAAAATGTAGAAACGTTTCGTCTCTCGTCCGAGAGACTTCTTCAGTCTGAGGTGCTGTATTCAGCTCAGTCTCTTAAATAGCACCTTCTCAGAGTGGATCAACCAGTTTTGCTGCTGACAACCAAAACCAGCTGATCACATGCTCAAGAAGGACCATCAGCCAGTGTCTAGATCAGACCACACTTCAGCAAGTGTTGGACTGTACAGATCAGGCACGCTTAGCACAGCATGTCAAGTCCAAGACTCGACAACAAAACAAGTTTAACTTACTAGTAACTCATCAACAACATCACTATTCCAATAACAACACATTCAGTGTAGGACAACACTCCAGTAGTCAATTATATGCCAGGGAGACAGAAAAGTGGGTGAAGAATTTATCTGACAGACAGCTCACCCAGCCAGAGACAGAGATTCTTGTCAGGGGACTGAACTTTGCGGTTGCACCAAGTAGAATTCCTCTGGTGGAGATGAT